AATTGGAGGAAGGGAACTGTGGGAAGGGAACTGGAGGAAGGGAACTGTGGGAAGGGAACTGGGGGAAGGGAATTGGAGGAAGGGCAGGCACTGGGATTGCTTTGCAATCGTTGCAGCTAATGGTTATGGTTGTTTGGATGTCAACCTTCATGTTCACCCTTGGGCAAAGTAACTGCACGTGATGTTTTTACAAAATTGAATGCCATGCTGGCTGATTATTCTTATGGTGGTTTATTGAAAAGTTCACATTAGAATAGAACTTTTTTAATTTTCTAAAACAAAAAACTTACAATGTGGAAGATGATTGTTCAATACTTATATGTTATTTGATTTTTACTAACTCTGCCTAACTCAAGTTAAAAATTAACATTGACTTAACATGGTTAGCTAAACGTTGACAATTTTTACTAAAACATCTACTTAATTTAACAAGTTATAATTGTTTAAACCCTACTTAAACACTACTTATAACTTGTTATAACTAGTTCACATACATTTATAATTTGTTATTAAGTCATTTAACATCGATAACATGTTATATAAAAACAGATTATTTAAGTGGTCTAATGAAAATATAGGATTTCAGCTTTGGTGGGTCACACCAAATTATGTCCCTTTGCTGGTGGGCTTCACCATTTTATAGCTATAAAATCTGTGGCAGGACCCTACCCAGAATTGACACGGTGATTTTTTTCTAATAGGGGTCCGTTTTTAAATAGGTACTCGATTACTTTGCTCAAGTGTGGAGAAAGCATCAATCTGCGGCTCGGCTGAGGTACGGCATCAAAAAGAAATTAAGGTCTGCCACAACTCCGCAGACGCTTCCAGAAGTGGAGGAGCGCGGCGATGTGCGAGTTTGCTGATCTTTTTTGCGCCAAAGCATGCAGTATGACAACCACCTGAAGGGATGCTTCCTGCCAACGTAACTGCAAGAGGGGCAGATTTTGTCCTTATTGATAAAACATTAAGTTGTATCCTTCCAATCTGACACATTTTCTCAAAGTCAAACACAGACCGGGTTTTAGTGAAGTGGCACTCGGCTCATCATATTTAGTCGCACATAAGTTGTCCATTGGACACATCGATCAGTCTCTTGCATGAGGGGATGATCACTGACACGAGGGGCAAACTGCCACTCTTGCTTTGGCAGCAAAACCCCTTGATGTGACCATGATTTCGGATATGTGAACATTGTGCTTCTTGTTACTAGAAGCGATGGCCCCCAACCTAATAGCGAAGGCCTCCACTTAGTAGCTTCCAGTTGCTAGTAAGCAGTTGCTCCTAGTAGCGATGCCAGGAGCCCCTAGTAGCGTCCTTGCTCTTAGGAAATCCGACCCTCACCGGCCTCGAGGAGTCCTCTGACTCCACCGACGTCGAAGAGCTTGAAACGCAGCACCGGGAGAAGCGACTTCAGCGGAGGCGAGAGCGGGAGCGGCGGAGCCTGCAGCCAAGGTGACATTATATATGTGCTGGGAGGGATCCCTTGGATTAGATTTGAATTTGATGCAGCGAAGTGGGTGAAGTCATCGGCTTTCCCTTTGTCACACACTGTCGCACATGTTTCTTTTCCTTGGAGATTTATTTTTTCATTGAGATACTTTAAGTATTTTACAATTACTGCATTAAGATGTGGCCTTCCATGCGTTCTGCCTAACATATCCCCTCTCACAGTCTCAAATGCCACAGACGGCCACAGATGCTCAACGCACAATTGACACGCCCGTCTCGCAGCAGCTTCATTTTTTTCCCCTCTTGAGAACAGAAACTTACTTTCTAAGCAATTCTTCCCAGCTGTTTGTTGAGAGAACCCTTCCGGTCCATGGAGCCTGATTTGGCAGGAAGAGTTTCGACGTACCCTCAAGCAAAGAGTAGTGAACACATTTAAAGACTATGTGCCTGAAACCATTCTGCAACCACCATGTTTGTGGGCAGAGGGTTCATTAAATATAGGCGAGTCCTTTCAGCTTTCACCCTTTCAGCTTTCACTGCAAGATGAGTCTGTCACCTACTCCACCGGCCGAGTGAATTTACTCATCCTGAGATCCGGTGTACCAAGGCAGGGCCAGGCCAGTCCACCTCATCATGGCTTTGAAGAAAAACCCAACCATGAAGTTGTCACAATCGAGAACTGGCCAGTCATCATGAAGTTCCTTTGTCATTGGGTCAAGTTCCTTTGTTCCTTTTCCACCCCACACCGTTGTACTGGATCAACACACCGTTCTTCCCGAGAATCGATGCGTTCCATCCGCGAGCTCGGAGGCGCTTACGCAAGTCGGTGGCGAAGTTTGACAGGCACCGACGCCTCCGGAGGATCGGAGCCGCGCGGACCGTCCGAAAACGGCATCCGACCGGTTCGGAGTCTCAACGAAGTAAGTGTGCACAATGCGTGTGTGCACTGTAGTTCATGCAGAAGGTTTCTACAAGTTTGTACGAGCTCGAATCGGATCGTGGAGATCCACAGCTCCGGTCACACTGGTCACACTTATTTGGAGACACCTCACTGATAGTCACTGTTTAGTTGTAGTTTGCCGTTAATTTGCTCAAATCAAAAAACCGCGGGAAGACAAGACGTGAGGTTCTGACCTACAGAAGCAGTATCAGTAGATCTCATGTTTGTATCCTGATGCTGACTCGGTGGGCCGGAGCAACCACTTCGGGAGCTTGTCGACGTCTGAGAGGATTGGGACGAGGTGGTGATTACAGGATTGCAAGAAACAGATGTAAAAAGTATCAAACAGTGCAATTCTCCCGATCTCCAGCTGAGTTGTACTTGTACGAACAAAAGACATCAACCGGCACAAGTTCTTCAACCAGTCAGTGGCCCACCCGCTTGAAAGGAAAAACGCGCACTGCAAAACACGACCTGAACTCCACACTTTCAATCATCTGCCAGGTGGATGGCGGACTATTTACACCGGGAGGGCCTGAAGCCGGCACCGGCACCGCCCTGGCACTCCCGCGCCTCCCGGCCCAGCACCGCGCCCGCGGTGCGGCCATCGGAGGTGGCCCGAGGAGGGCCACGGAGAAAACAGGATGTCTTGAACTGAGGGTGAGTCGAGAACTTAGAGTTAAAAAAAAGAATCATGATGCGACATGCTTGGAGTTTTCCTGAAATGAGTGTTTTGTAGGTGTCTTTTGGTATATGTTACACAGTATTGCAACTACACAGCCATTCCTGAATTGTGCGCTCGTGTCTTTGCATGCTATCTTGCAATTTGAAGTAAGAATGGTCGTCAAGTCATGCTATGTCATACCTCATATCCCCGCCCTCCACTGGTTAGCGGTTCCTCTGGGTGTATCGAGCCAAGCAGGGGGGCTTTCCAAAGACAGAGGGGAAAGAGTTTCACTTCCTTTGGATCGGGTCAGGGTTTCCCCGCTTTCCCATGGCTTGCTCCTCACGTTGACGCATCCTCTTTGGTTTAATTCTCTACAAGTGGGTCACCAGGACCCCTGTGCACTCCTGGACCTCAGGGACGTATGAGCTAAGAACGCTCGACACCTGAAGTTGTGGAGTCTGTTATCTTTCATGCTGCAGCAGTCAGCTTGCATGTGTGTGTGTGTGTGTTTAAAGTACTCGTACGTCACACGAACTGTTCCATTTCAATCAGTGAGCTGCAAGTGATGGAGACACACCATTATCGATGCAGTATGTTACATCAAGCTGGACTGCAAGACACTGGCATGACGCACACATCGTCGTGGTTTCAAGCATCTTAGACCTCTGAAAAGAGGACCGGTGGTAGTGCCACAGGGTCCCCCTCCATGATACCTTGAAATGGAAGAAGTCGACAGCACATGTTTTGACAACAAGTCTTGTGTACCTTGCAGTTTGTATGCAGATGTTGCTGTTTCATTCTTTTTTGGATACTAGATGATAATAGATAAACATGATTCATGATTAAACATGATTAAACATGTTATGTTCCAAGAATCGTCACAATTCAAGCGATACTCAGCAAGAGCGCCTTCTTTCCTGGTCCTAGCATTCTGTGATTCCCTGGAGCTGCCCTTGGTGGGCAGACTTGTCAACAATTTGCCCCTCCTCGTGCATAACTAAATCAGTTGTATGAGCTATGTAGTTGGACCTCAACCATGCTCCAATTGGCTGAGTGGGGCTAAGATTCCCCCATTTGGAAGATATGTCAAGAGTCGAAAGAGTCTTTCCAAGAAACAGCGTACCTCCCAAAACAAAAGTCCCTAACAAGAAATATTCAGTGCTTCAAATGTAAGCTAAGAAACAGCCTCCGATATATCTTTCTGGGACCCTTCAGCAATCTCTGACTCTCATGAGGCCAACCTCTCAAAAATCGTGGAGTAGACAAACAGTTGGCATTTTCAAAGTTCCAACGTGACTTCCTTTGGATCTTCCTTTTTCTTCTTCACCGAGACTTCGTTCCTTCTGGTCCAAATTCCGTCTCAGGGCCAGACTACAAGGATGGAGCGATGAGGAGGTGAACCTGTCGCTGGTGGTGATTGAGAGAAACGATCGATCCAAAATCCAGAATCTGAGATTCCACGAAAAGCCAAAATCCATTCAAAAGTGTCGTTTGTAGACCCTGGCCAAATGCCCTGTAAGAAGTTCCTTTGCTGCACTGGTAGGGTTTTTCAAGAAGTTCCTTTGCTCTACTTCACATTGCAACGGTCCAGTGGTAATCTCACGACTCAGCTGGTGAACAAGCAGAGAATAGTAATTATATAGCCAAACTGGTGCAATTCCTTGGAAAACGAAGCTGGAAAAAAAACGAAGCTCAGTAGAAACGACCCAATTTCTGACTGACTGTAATTTTGAGGGTCGCTCAGCGAAAGTCAGATCCATTTTCATAAAGTCATATGGTCATTGTAGTCCCTTGCGACAGTAGAGGCCTGCACTCCAAGGCCCATTCGTCCATGCTACTTTCGAAATCGAGTGATTTTCCAGGGGTGAACCATGCAATCAGCTGGTTGGAGTGAACTGACCATACTGACCTACTGGATTCAAAGAAAGGCGCAATTTGTTCATGAGCCATTTGGATATTTGAGTGGTGATCCATGGCGTTGTTTGAAGTGTGGCAAAGGTGGGACCTTGCCCAATCCTTTCCAAGGTCCTGTTTGTGGTACGGTGTGACGTAAGGTGTCTGAGGGTTTCTGTGTGATTGACAATCGTCCAGAGTCCAAAGCAACACTTAAGCAGGAAAACTGCCAGTGTCATTGCTTTGCATACTGGTGGCCAATCAGTGCAGATGATGCATACTGCATACTGGTGTTCACCTCGTTGAGCACGCTTTCAAGCTGCCAAATTTGACCACCCAATCGACCACTGTTTTCTTTGTTCGGCCGGCTTTACTTGATGGCTCAAGCTTGGCAGTGCAGCCCTGCGCAGGGCGCCCTGAGCACTTATGTTCGACTCCTTGTTTCAACAAATGTTGCTTTTTCGGCCCTTCAACCGATGAGCCGGATTTCGGCTGTGGCTCTCTTCAATGAGAGCTATGAGGTGGGATCCTTCTGTGCCAAGATCAATGAAGCTTACTGCCAGCGGCATGGCTACCGGATGTTCACGCTGAGGCTTACGGATGCCGAGATGAAGTTGTTATGCGAGGGTCGACACTTTGCTTGGGGCAAGGTGGCCCTGCTTCGATGGCTCTTTGGGAAGAAGAAAAGGAGGAATGAGACAGATGAGACGAATCTGTTGGAGAGCAAGATCAGCGAGGAAGACTGCTTGCAGCTCCTTTCGGCAGATTGGCTCGTTTGGTTTGATGCGGATTTGATGGTGCTGAACCATGAATGGCCTCTCTCAAAGTTCCTGTCTGGCAACAAGGATCTTGTGCTGGGCGAGGACATGGCAGACCTGGACTGGCTGAATACAGGCCTGATGATGTGCAAAGTTGGCTCCTCCTGGATGCAAAGCCTTTGGGACAAGGTTTGGAGTTCTGGTGATTCTTCCTTCCACCAGGGCGAGTTTTGGGATCAAAGTGCCTTATGTGCCTGTTTGGCCCGTTGGGGTGAGTTTCATCCGACAGTGGTGGGTGGCAAGAAGATGGTACAAGTGGAACCACCCAGAGAACCTTGGTTTAGCTGGCAAGGCGCTCCACGTGTGCGAGAGACAGAGCACATACGTGTCTTAGATGCAAGTGGCACGCAGACAAACAATCCGCGACATGCACGCTTTGCATTCCATGCCGCAGGGATGAAGGACCAGGGTTGATGTTGCAATTATCTTCTGAATCAGAATTCGGTGGTATGGAAAGAGGGAACTGGAGCCTCTATAGCAACGCTATCGAAGGTCAATGAAGCTTTTGTCCAGGGTGTATGTCTGTGTCGAACAACATCAATCCTGTGGAAGGATAAACTACGTTGCTGCCGCCACATCCAGGACCTATGTGGATCGGCGGTCCACCCATGGGGCTGGCCACAGCCTGAGAGGCGGACCTGGCCATCCGAGAAGCGGGTGCGATTCCTGGAACGGTGGGTGAAGCAATCCGAGCCAGCACTTTTGCGCACCGAGCTGCCCAAGGATGGAGGCCAGGGTGGGGCAACTGTTTAAGAAGTGAAACACCAGAGATGCATGGGTATGACTGGGGCAAGTACTGGGGCACATATCATACAGAATCTGTTTGGCACTTCTTAAGCCATTGGTCGCGCCAGTAGCCCACTGGCAACAATCTGGTTCATAGCCAAATGTAGCCAAATGATGTATGTTCAGGCCTAGAAGTCGATGAATTCTGATAGACAGTCCTTTGGGGACGGTCAGCTTGAGGGCGATTTGGTGGAGGTGCTTGTGTTTCTGATGCACCAGGGGTGTGTTCTCGGAGTTTGTGTGAAAAACTCCAGTGATACGCACACTAGAGACATGCAGTATGGGATTGACTCATGGTCATCAAACATCATCCATATCTCACCAAAGGTTTTCACAATTGTTCACCCGTCAGCCGACAATATCTTTCGATCTCAAAGAAACAAATGTCACTGCCAAATAGGAGCAAGGACGCTACTAGGGGCTCCTGGCCGTACTACTAGGAACAAGAAGCTACTAGAAACATGTAGCATTGCAGATGGCTCAACCAATTCCTCAGGCAGTCTTCCATCCTTAGACGATCTCTCCGAGTCGGGCGACCAGCTGGTGGAGATCTGGGACCGGGCACCGCCCTGCGCCGCTGCCGCGCCGCCCGGCGAACGGCCCTGGAGCCGGCGGAGCCGGGCGCGGCTCTGGGAGATGGCACGGTATGTCGCGGGAAGTCCGCCCGCACAGCATGGGGCGCTGCAGCAGATGAGTCGATTTGACAGGATTGGAAACGATTTGGAATGAATTCTTTTGGAGACTTTCTTTTTTCTGAGGGGACCAGCTTCAAGTCAAAGCAGTTGGATCTTCCGCCAAAAAGATCCGAGTTGGTCAATCACCACTGTTCAGGTGCTCTCTGAGTTATTCGGGTGTTTGTCAATGAGAATGTACATTTGTGATAGCATTTGATAGCTAACCAAGAATATCCAAGAATGTCACCCCGTTCATGTGTAGGCTTTTTGGAGTGGGAGTGTGCTGTTTTTCACTGTGGTCAAAAACTGGCCTGTTTCCATGTGCAAACACAAGCTAGGTCCTCGGCGATGTTGGCAAGTCTTTGGCATGCCATGGATGGATGTGATGGGGAAAAGCGGCGGGGTCACCTCTCCCGCTCCGTCACTTGGCTCGCTCCTGGCACTCGACACCTGCACCTTAAACCTGGCGCCACCCAATGCCGAGCTGCAGATGCATCGTCCCAGGGCTGGGGACTCGGGCTGGCTGCTGTGGCAATTGGAAGGCAAGCAGCAGGTGAGGACGGTGTGAGAACATGTGAAAACACCTGGTTTCAATTGGTTTGACATGTCTGAAAGGACCCGGAAACAGAGCTGCTGTTGTTCCAGTCACCTCGATTTGGAAGTTCCTACAAGCAGAAATTTATCAATTTGACAATTTGATGACCTGCAACGACGGTTCGACGCATTTGCTTCAACACAATAACCTGTTTTTAGCGAGGAGCGTGGAGAAACGAGTGCTGGCAGAATCACTTTTTGAACACCTGATTTCTTAGAACGTCAG